TTACATTTTTGGTTGGTGGTGTGCCTCGAGATTTTTTCAATTAAAAAAGTGTACCTTGGCTCAAAAGAGGTTGAAAAACACTGCATTAGATCTTTTTGGTGCTGTAGTTTGGCCGCCATCCAGCAGAGGGCGCCCTGGTCATCCTGAACCGGAGCCAGTTGATACAAAATGGCGGAGGGATCCCAAAGCGAAAAGTAGAAACGAGTCCGGTGTGGGATGGAAAATGCACTTTATGCGGTTCTGTTTTCACATATTAACGCTTGACAAGCTCCGTAAGTTATTAATTTAAAAAGTCCTGCTTTGCTACGAAGGCGAGAACGTGATGACGTAAGATAAGCAGAAAATTAGTACGGCAGAGAAATTTCCGTAATGATAATAAGCACGGCTGATTTTGAGGGCTGTCTGAGTGTAATAATCCTAGAAAACAAATTTCTGTTTATTTAGTCGGTATTTAACACAGCTAACAGAAATGTTTAAATATTATGACCTGGTACTTGAGAAAAATAAGTACGAGAATAAAGTCATAATATTAAGAGAAAAAGTCTTAATATTATGACTATATTGTCTTTATTATTTTATTCTTAGCTTGGCATTAATACTCCATCTTAAAATATAAAGACGTGCTTCCTATTTTGTAAATCCAGCTTAACTTAAAGGGATACATTTTTGTAATAAGAGCTACATTAACATAAAGGGCTACATTGAAATGGCTGCTTATTAATTAATTATTAATCGATCGATAAGACAAAGCTACTTTAGATAAACACATTAATCGATCATTTGCATCTCTGGCTGGAACACAAACAGCCTTGAAGCGACTTTAGTCGCTGGGTTTCGGTTGGTCACCTTGGTTTTGTGGCTCTGCTCGGTTCCCAGACCCGACCCGGGTGTGTGGAGCTCCTTGGATACGACGCACAGGAACTCGGCCTGGTCCTCCGTCCCGTAGCTGTAGGAGGAGCCGATGTTCACCATCTGCAGGAGGAGCAAGGGGAGGACGGGCAGACGGAGACAGCGAGGTGGTCAGGCGGGGTTAGACTCAGGAACCACGGGCTGAGAGGACTAAAACTTTACAAGCGGAAAAAAGTGTTGGAGCTCATGCAGGGTGGAGTTCTAGGGAGGAAGAGGATCGGTGGAGGTTCTGGTAGCGGCAGCAGCATGCTGTGGAGCGGGGAGGCGAAGCAAAGCGACAGGAGAGAGGAGAACCTACAGCTGGTTTATTTAGGAGCAACGTTCACCTGAAAACTGTCTGCATACTGCAGTTAACGATTCAATTACTAAACTGGTTATTATTTCAATAATTGATTAATCATGATTAATCGTTTGGTTTATGGCAGTAATAAAGGCGGCTGCCGTCTGTACAATGTAACAATAACGCTCAAACTGCAGACACTTTAAAAACTAAACGATTGAAGTGGCACAAATCACATTTTCTTTAAGGTGAAAAGATCGAGAATATACCAGGAAAAACATCGAAACCGGCTGAGAAAATCGGCTTCTGAAAAAAAATCACTCATTTTAACAAGTGACAGGTTTGATTCTTACCACTAAACTGTTACCAGTAACTGTATTTAGTCACATTTTCAAATATGGTGACTTTCATAAATCTAACAGTGGAGAAAAGAGATAAAATAACCAATTTGGGAAAAATACTATCAAGTTTTTGGAGTTTCAGATATAAATGTTAATTTTTTTGTTGTGATCATAAATCAAAAATATTATAAGAACAATTTCAGGGTAAATGTCCACTGCCAGTGTCTAAACTTACTGAAAGCGTGGGTAGCAGCGTTGGTGTCTACTGTTCCTTACAGAACAAAGTAAAGCAGTCCACACCAAATCAATGCAGGATCGGCTGCTAATAACGACGAGAAGCGAAACGACAGCCTGAGTGTTTCAGTCTGAGTTTCCAGGAAACACATTTAGGTAGAGAGGAAACCCCAGTCGTCATATAAACTTATGGCAAGATGTCGTGTATCTATTCAATATCCTGCATAGGAACTAATTGATACCAGAAATTTAGGCTTTAATAACTTTGTAAATATCACCCAGTAGAGTAAGAGCAGCTCTTCAATATGTTTTACTCAAGTAAGAAACTGGGCAGAAAACCCAAAAAATGACTGAAGAGTAAAAAAGTATTTGGTAAAAAAATCTACTGAAGTACTGAGTAACTGATCAAATTATCAATCATTTAATATTTAAACATTACATCATCAGTCAGACCAAAATATAAAGTGGACATTTTGGAAAAAGACAAATTTTCCAGATCAGTTTCTTTCAATAAAAAACTAATGAAACTTTAACAGAAACTTCAGGCGAGTTTCTGGTTTTTATTTGTTTTTCATTCAGTGGGAAGAAAATCCAGAAATTTCACTCAAATAAGAGAAGAAATACTTTAGAATAAAACTATTCAAGTAAAAGTAAAAATACAGCGTAGTAAAAATACTTCTAAAAGTTATTTTTTCAAAAAGGTTACTCAAGGAAATGTAACTGAGTAAATGTAACTAGTTACTACCCAACCCTGGGATTAACCAGCGCCACCTAGTGTTCAAACAGCAGAACAGAAACGACCTGCAGTTAAACCTCACAGTTTCTGACTCGTCTGTTTTCCAGCTTTAGTTTGAGGAGTGCAGAGAGCAGGGCTGAGGTCAGGGGTCAGACCAGGGGTCAAACTGAGGGGTCAGCAGCAGCGTGAGTCCAACCCACAGTCCAGAGCAGTCCGGTGCGGGGCTTTCTGCAGGCGCGCACGCTGACCTGCTCAAACTTCCAGCCGTCCGACATGGTGGAGACCATCTGGGTCAGCTCCTCCTCCTGGCACTGCAGAACCCGGTACACGTGTTTGGGTGGAACCTGCTGGGAGCGGGGGGGACAGGTGAGGACAGGTGAGACAGGTGAGACAAAGAAACAACCCAAAACACAACTGATGAAGATTATTAAAGCTGAAAAGCCCTAAAAATGTCTGGGAGCAAAAATAAATGATTACAAATTCAATTCTTTGAAAGACGGATTTTTTCTTTTGGCTCCTTGTTCTTCCAAAGCTCAGGGCGGCCATCTTGTCTGACAAACATGTTTTAACAGCTTCTGTTTATTTGGACTTTGGTTTCAGGTCAATTATGTAACAAAATATAATAATTATTATAAAGATGTTTTTTTCCTTTTTGATCAGGAGAATGCAGATTATCAGTAAATGAAGTTTATCAGAAGATTTCAACAAGGCAGTTCGACGTGCGTTACGTCATAAAAACACGAAGATAAAGTCATAAAGTCCATAACTGAGACACAAACATGACTAGAGGAGAGCCATCATTGAAATCATCATTACTCATCCAATATGTTGGTCAGCGTTTCATTTATTATGATTTACCAGCAGCTCTGACAGCTGAGGTTTCCGTTTCGATTTAGAGGAACTCAGTGTTTCGGCTGTTTTGCAGTTTTTGGGAAGTTTATTCCAGATTTGTGGTGCATAGAAGCTAAATGATGGAGTTATTTACAAAATAAAAGTTAAATGAGAACAAAGATGTAGGACAATAAGGTTGGAATAATATGAGAATATCGTTTTAATTTTACCAGAATAAAATCATAAAATCAGGGGAATGGAGGAGTAATTTTATTAGGACTCCTTCACAAAAAATAACAAGAATTATACAAACTTTTTTCTAGTTAAAACAACTTTTTTCCTCATAATTTTAAGACGTATAGTAAAACTGTGCCTTTTTTCTGGTAATATTTTGACTATATTGTGGTCATTAAAATGGTCGTAGCCTGGTGGTGCAACTCACAGAAGTAAAGATTGAAAATGTTTTCTGTCATTTATTATTCTGCTTTTAAAAAGATTTTTATCGTGACGTCGTATCGCCCAGCCAGTGAAATGAGAAGCCGGTAATAAAGTGACCAGAAGCTAAAATCCCTGCATGTTGATGTTTCTGCATGATGTTTATCTGAGCAGCAGTGAGTCAGTCTCACAGGAAGTGGGCGTTCGTTTGAGGCTGCATGTAAGAAAGAAAAACGATTCCTGGAGGAAAGAATGAACATTTAATGTTACATAACGGCTCAGTATTTAGCAGCATTTTATTATTTATGTTTTCTAGGAGGAGTTCATGTCACTTATTACTCAACACCAGGGGGGTCCAAAGTGTGGTCCGGGGGCCACGTTGGTCCGGGGGCCACGTTTGGCCCCTGGCTGATTTTGTGGTTGACGCAGATTGAGGCTTTTTATTTTAAGTTGGGTCAGACAAATTACAGACAAATTTAAATCTTATTAAAATACAAAGTATTCATCTAAAATAACCACATATTTTGCACCATTCTGTTTTTATTTGCAATGCAAAAACAAAATCTTACCAAGTATTTCTGGATTCTATTCCAAATATATTAATACATTTGAAATAAGTCAAAAGTAACTTACAGAAAACCTTCCAGCGTGATATACGAGTTTGTTTTAAGTCAATAATTCCTTAATATTGCTGAAGATGTGAATTTACCTGTGTGGCTTTAGAGTCTCTCTCAACGATTCGCTCCTTGATCAGTTTGATCAGCGGCGTGATGTTGTAAAACTCAGCTTCCTCCAAAACACCTTCAAACCAGAAAACAGCAACATGAGCAACATGAGCAACGAGCAACATGAGCAACGAGCAACATGAGCAACATGAGCAACGAGAAACATGAGCAACATGAGCAACATGAGCAACGAGAAACATGAGCAACATGAGCAACGAGAAACATGAGCAACATGAGCAACATGAGCAACGAGAAACATGAGCAACATGAGCAACGAGCAACATGAGCAACATGAG